AAAAGGACCCAACTATCATAAAAGAAGATAATCAAGGAGCAATAAGTTTGTCGAAAAATCAGAAATACCATCCAAGAACGAAACACATTGACATAAAATATCATTTCATTCGCTACAAAGTACTGAAGAAAGAAATTGCACTTGAGTATTGTACGTCACAACAAATGGTTGCTGATATGTTAACGAAACCATAAGGAAAACTGTATTTCAACGAATGAGATCTAATATGGGAGTAACAAACATTTAAAGGAATAGAGATTAGCTTATATTTTTCGAAAGGGAGTGTTAAGATATGAACATCACGCGAAAAACATAATTAAGTAACTATGACACGTCATATTAAGTGACATTGAGAACTTGTTATTGTAATATCGTTGTTAGCTTACACGTAAGTTGTTGTTTTGTTCCACAATAAAAATCATAATATCTCACATATTATCCGAACGTTATTGCCGAATCTCGAATAATTTAACAATCTCAAGAGCGGCTTTAAAAAACATGGAGGATTTCGTCCTCTGCCGCTGAGATTTATTGAAAAAGACTGCTTTTCTGTAAATTTCATAATTTTTCACTCCCCTCTTAAGAATAGAACGAGGAAAAAGTATCTGTACATTTGGCATTTGGCAAGCAATTTTATGATGAAAATCGAGTTGAAAACCTAACATTCATAAAAGCAAATCAACTATGTTGTTAGTTATCGGCTCCTACGAGGATTCTTTTTATAGCTATTGACAAAGGGAGCTGTTTGTCGGCTACATATGAATGGAAATGTGCGTCGTTTTATTACCAGCGTCAAACCTTTTGGCTCGATCAAATGGCTTATCTCCAATTTTATGCAATGGGCATTGGCCTGCTCTACAATTGCAGGATTTGCTCTTATTTCTTTATAAAGATAAATATTAAATCTTTGGATATTTACTGCTTGACTTAATTTATATGATTTGCTGAAATTGAACTTCATGTTGAATTTCAAAAAGACTCAAGTTTGCATTAGTTTGATTAACGAAAACAAGAAATAGTGTCTACAAATCACTAAGTAACCTTTTTGTGTTGTTCTGAAGTGGGCAAAATGCAAATAATCATGTGTGCAAATAATGTTTATAATTTAATTGTGTTTTTAATACTTCTACCCTTCTTTTTCTCTTTGTTTTTTCTTTCCTATATTTGCAATGTAAGAGCACAATTTGATTGATTAACACAGTTTTCACCTCAATTATAAATTTCATAATTTGTTCTCTGAGTATCCACATCTGGTGTCGCGTTTAAAAAGAATGATGAAGTGCATGTAGATATGTTAAAGGGGGGAAATACAAGCAAATGAATAAAACACATTTTCTATACTTTTATTCTAGAGGCTAAAAAGCTTTATAGAAATTATAAAGTTATTGAATTATACTACCTCTATACCACCATCCCATGAAAAAAAATAAGAAGCAAAAAATTAGAGAACAACTTTGAAAAGTTAAGTAAAATTTTATATAAAAAAAGCAACAAATAATGCAAATGACAAATATCCATTTTGTACACTAATAGATCAAACTGTTTTCAAAGCAAAAACTGAAACAATGAAGAAATATGTTGCACTGTTACACTGAATCGTTAACGCTTCAGTATAGCATGCATTAATTTTTAGAAACATTTAAACAACACTGTACTAAAGAAGTTTGATAAAGATATGACATGACTTAACCATTAAGTTACATAAAACCTAATGAAATATACAGTTTGAAGCTTCACATATGCACTAAGTCATCGTTAATCGCAGTAACAATGTTTACATAAACACAAAGTTTATAACTATCCCATTTTACATGTTTGTGAATTTACATTTTATCAATTGTCAAAACACACACTGCCCTCTTGCCATCTTTCTTTGGTTCTTGAACTTTAACTTTAAAGTATTCAAGGATTCAAGGCATCTTTAGTGAATCCATAGTCTACATCTATAGAATTTGACCATGATCAAATTTAACAACTCTGGATAGGGGAGACAATAAATCAATGATCTTTTCAGCATTGTCATTTTTTGTAAGACACTGACTGCTCAACAACATCTTCCAGTCATCTTTGCTGCCTGGTCTTCTACCCTGCATGTCTTCAGCAAATAGAATATAACAGGCTCTACTCCAAATCAAGGGTTAACTGTTTCTGCTGATCGTTTCATTTCGATATCTACTTACTGAGTAAAATGTGCAGGGTCTTTGCGTTATGGAAACTATTTCGCAAATAGATTGGTAAATTTTGTATTTTATACATTAACAAAAAACAGAAAAGTATGCTGAGTTTTATAAACAAAAACAGGAAAACATCAGTATATTTTGCGTTCACGTCAGTCTTAAAAAAATACTATTTTGATGCGCATTTTATGGATTTTTAAGTGCGTGTGTACTTGCTTTTCAATCGTTGATGAACAAACAAAACAAGCAAATATCTTAACTTTGACAAGAGAAATGTTCCTTTTTGTGGAAACTACGACATCAAACAATTAAAAAGTTTAAGTGTTGGAATTCTAAAAAAAATCCCAAAAAGATATATTGTTTGTTATTGAAAAATTCTATACAATTGACTATACACAAAGGGGAGGTCAAGAATATTATTTTCTGCAAAGCGATCATTTCAGCGGAGATAGATCCTTTGGCCTCCATGTTTTTTTACAACAGTTCTCAGTCCACTTAACCGCTCCTGTTATTATAGAACTCAATGGTCGAACGAAAACGGAGCGCTTCGCACAGTCGTGTAAACAGCGAACCGTTAATATTTCGCTACACTTTAGATACCAGTTCTGTTTACTTCGTCGTGTGGGGTAGCTCATAATTCCAATTGTGAGCATTTTATGTTTTTGAAAGCTTTTAATGACTGGTTTCGTTGTAATTATAACAAATCATTGTTTTTCACGAGGCATGTCTAGAGATATAGCTAAATCTCTAGTAATATGCAAATAAGAAATGGAGCCATTTTTCACAAACGACTAACGACTTCTGCGAAAAGAAAAATCATGAGTAAATCACCCGCAAAAATGTAGCGGAATTTCAAACAGATCAGTGTAAACGCTGTCAAGTTATGCCGTCATTTTTTTGCTCCGATGTAGTGTGAACACTGTCGCCACTGTTTCTAAATAGCTACGTATGAAAAGTTACCGCGCGGGAGGTCTTAGGAACTAGAGTAAATCCAGATAATGTCAATATACGCAATATACGTGTGAAAAAGACCAATAAGTCACATGCTACATTTAACATTTAAATGCAATATGAGTATGTATAGGTGAACTTGATGAAGCATTTGTATGTGCTCGTACAAAGTGAAAAAACAATTATTTCTTTGACAACATATATTCCATAAGTTTTCTATGCTTGTGTGTACGTTATGGACTACGTTTTCTTGTTGTAAAGAATCGAATGATAATAAAAAAATGTTTCTTATTAGGTTAAATGTGTTTCTTCACTATTCAATGGAATGTGTGGTTGTTTCCGTGGGTATGTTCTGCCGGTAGTGAGTTCGGATCTCGTCGTTTTATGGCGTTTTGTGTTCTGTAAGTCTTGTTTCAATTTTCTTAGATGTTTGTCCTATGTATTGTTTGAACAGTCTTTACATGGTATCATGTAGATCGCGTCAGTTGTATGACGAATTGTTGTTTTGTCTTTATGTTTGGTGAAACATGATTTGAGTTTTTGTGTAGGTTTGTGGGCGACGTTAATATTAAATGGTCGAAGAAGTCTGGCAGTTATTTCTGATGTTCCGTTTATGTATGTAAATGCGACGATTTTTACTGCTTCGTCCGGTTTTTTGTTGCTTTTGCTATTTTATTCAGTTTCAAGCTAGCCCAGTTGAGCCCGCATTTGCTAATACTCGACACCTCTACGCATGCTCTTTCCTATCGTTTTTTCGTATTGCGATCGTATTTTCGTATACGTGTGGACACAAATCTTTTCAAAAAACGGAGAAAAAACCTCCGTTTTTAAAAAACTCCGGATACGTGTGGACGGGGCCTAAGAAAAACTTAAATCACCTGCAAGTTTATCCAGGTTAAATGCTAGTTGAGTAATTGAATTCGGATGATGCTCTATTTCATGTCTTAAAAATTCCACCACTTTATAAGTTAAAAGACTCTCGCCAATGAATAATTTCAGGAGTTCTTAGGCTGAAGCTGCTTAACTGGTTGCTTATATAGCTTTTCCGCTACGTCAAATAATTATTTTTGTTTCTGTGTTAAAACATCTAAAGTGAGCAAATGACATAGGTAATCCATTTGTTCGGAGCAAATGCGATGGCTCTTACTTCTTGATTCTTCATCAACTAACACAAATTAAAAAAACTGTAGTAAAGGAGTCTTCTAATCAGCTTTTCTAAGATTTCCATAATTCTTTGCCCAATGCTTTCATTCTCTCAAAATACAATGCCTTCGACAAAGTAAGCCATTACACAGGGTGTATAAAAAAATTGAACAAATATGAAAACGTTACTAAAGTTATCAGCGCGCAAGGTGTCTGTAAAACCATTGGTGGAAATAGGTAATTGGACTTCTAAAGGTTCATCTGACAGTAAATTGTAACAAAAAATAACCATTTTCGAAGTGAGAATTGTGCTACCGGGAAGCGCTTTTGAAATAGCTTGCACACGAAAACGACAAAACTAAAAATTCCTAAAACTTTGTTAGCATAAACAACATGCATTATATTTTAGCCCTTTAATCCAAATGCTTTTAAGCTGCATGATTTTTTTGCGCAATCTCTTCCAAAAGTGCTATATAGTAAAATAACTCTCACTCTAAAAATGGTTATTATTTGCAAAACGTCCAGTGTCAGATAAGCAATTGAAAGTCTACGTATCTACATATTTCCACCAAAGGTTTCAGCAGATCTTCCATGCGACAATTTTGGCGACGATTTTCTAGTTGTTTAATTTTTTGATACACTCTATACTGTTTATTCGTAAAATCATAAAACCAAAGAACCCAAATATAAATAATCGATATGGGTAGCGAAATACGAAGGACAAAAATATTTTGGATACAAACAAAAAATATACAAACGTATGTAATTAAGCGCTTGCTTAACGTAACTAAGAGTTTTACACCAATTAATAAAAGAATTACTATACATACGTTTTGCAGAAGTCAAAATATCTTGTTTCCATGTTAGTAATGTGGACTCCAAGTTGGCCTGGTTAATATGTGATTCAAGTTTGTCCACAAAGTTGTACAACTGTTTTTGGCCATTGGCAATTTTATCTTTAGCCTCAAATCAGTAAAACATACGTTCATCAAAGGTAATTAAGTAACTTCTTATTAAAGAAACCAAATAACGTTCACCACAAATGACCTGAAATATAAAAAAAGAGTAATGAAAATATGATAATTCTTGTCCGTTTAGCGTAATTTCATTTTTATGCAAAGCTTACGTACCTGACAATACCAGGCATGTGCTTTTAAATGCATTACCGAAAGGGCAGGTTTCAGCTTCTGACATGCGGTTGCATCGTGTTTTCTGAACCAAGGCCAAACTTGCAAAATACATCATACCAAAAAAAAAATTGTACCCCGAAGAAAGTAGTATTTGCATATAATGAGCCTAGCCATGTGCTTCTCCATGCTTCACGCTAACAGCACGTTGAGCTATACTATGACGACAGCCAGCATTTCAAGTCAGGTATCATCCTCGTTTTCTGCTTTTTAACTTGTTGCAGGCAGCACGGCCAATGGAATCACCATATCTAGAGTCGTCTGTCATCTACAATAAATTTATTAAGGTCATGCTGCAGCGTAAGTAGAAATTACATAAAAGGCAAGTGAGTTAAGAAAACTAAAATATGTATGTGAATCGCAACTTCTATATGAAAGTCAGACGAAGACTAAAAGCTTATTACCGTACATGAGCTTTCTATTTGACTGTAGTTTTCTAAAACCGTGCGAAAATTAGTTTAACGTACACCTTTTTCGATTGAATTGGTCAGTGATGTAGGACAATTACGGAATTACATTCATAATTAGATTAGCAGTTTACGAATACCTTTTCCTCCCCCTTCTGGTATATTTCATACAAATGCTGCTGTACTTTTTCATCAGAACAAATAAATTTTTCACCATAGTTGCACCCTCTTTTTCTACTAATTAAGAAAAGGAAAACACAATATAGCTACACAGTCAACCCTTTAAAAAACGTATTGAGAAATTCTTGCAAGTCGGTCAGGATCCATCAAATATTTTCAAGACCCTTAGAAAATGTCAACTTTTTAAGTAGCAATACATTCTTAATAAAATGAATGGTTTGAAAAAGAGGGTATTGTCAGATGTTTGTACATGTGGTTTGTTCAGGCTACTAGAGTACTGAAAAGGACTGTTTTTGATGATGTTGACTGACAGCAGCAGTTAACTGAGATCTGACTCTGAATGTGACTACCACTAAACAGTCCTTATCAGGACTCTATTAACCTGGACAATCTACATCTACCTACAAACACTACTTTTCTTATTATTGCAATCAACTGATTAGCACCATCCAGAGCATGAAACAATATTGCATGCATTGAAATTTTATGTCATTGACATTGCTCAAGAAAGGTTTCGATCGCAGATAATACTTAGACGGAGGTCGTGAATAATTAAGTTGTTGAATAAAACACGTGTTGAAGAGCTATAATATTGATTGAAATCTAAAAATGACGTAAACTATATAACTGTATGTTGGTAATCTCAATCTATTAAAAAATTTACGGTCTTTTTAGGGCAATAAAAAATATTGTGGCTTAATGGCTCATTGTGTTTGTGAAAAATTTTATAATAAATCACGTGCCACACTATCAATTAAAGTTTAAAATAGGTGCGCTTTATTTACCAACAGCAAAAGATTCGTTTTTGTTGTTGATTCTGACTGTTAGAGGAATGGGATCATAAAAACCATTAATAATAACTTCTCGATCATGAAAAGGTTAACTCTTATGCAGCTTCAAATCGCATGTTACACATACAAATCTGTGTTGATGACACTCCTCACAACATATATCTACCCTTGCACTATTATAGCTCCCGCATTGTAAGTCACTAAAACTGGCAACAACAAACCTGGTTTAAAGCAATAAATTCATCAAACTCTTCTGACCTCCTCCCAGCTTTCATTAAGAATAATTTGTCTCTCATGCCAGGTTTTTTTATTTTTCTGCTTAAAACACTTCCAGTTTTCTAATAAATTGTTTGCCTCCCCCAAAATATCACTAATTGTCAAACCTAAAAGTTGTAAATGTATAGGCTTATGTAAAAGATAAATACTACCAAGAAAAAAATTTGGTCACCCTAATTGTGTTCAAAAATACAATTCTAAATCAATGACATAATCTTAAGACTAAAAACTGCAGAAAAATTATCAAAATCTTTCTCCAGACAGGAAATTGCTAACTATGTTGAGGCAATAGCTTTCTATTATGTAATACACAATTAAATTGAAAGAAGTGAATCTAATTAAGTAATTATTTACCATCAATTAGCTGGCAAATTAAAATTCCAGTTGCTTACCCTCTGCAGAATTCACAGATAAATCCACACTGGATTCATGACAAGAATCACCAGAGCATAGTTCTGACACTATAATTTTATAAAAGCTCATATGTAAATGCTAAGAAAATATATTATTGTTTTCACAGTAATTGTAATTGTTAATAAAGACATGCTGCCGATGACAGTTTGGTCCGTAGGCGTTTCGTTCATTCAGGATTTAAATTTCCAAATACAAATATGTAATTAACTTCACATTCTGAATTCAAGTTGAATTCACATTTTTTGGCAAATTCAATTTTCATTTCATTCATGTAAAAGTAAAATGCACTGTAAAAATTTGATTTTGAGTAGTTAAGAATTACCTATGAAATACTAACTTACGTAAAGTAGTGAAAGAGCCCACCAATAATCCACCCTAATGGATTTTTCGTTTTTGGACCAAAAATTGATTGTCAATTTTTACAACCTTGCAAAGTACATAGTTATTGTTATTATTGTATGGAATACTGTCTTATGCATTTTTAAAACAGCTTTCTAATATAGCTTTGACAATGGCACACTTAAAATTTGATGTTGTCACATGATCAATTTGTCATATATATATTTACCTTGGATGGTATGACAATTTCATGCTGGGAGGAGTTTTTGCATTCCTACCTGAACAACCTGGATTACTATGGTAGATACACAGAGCTGATGAAAAATGTTGACCATATCAATTATGTCTTCTTGAGCCATCCAGTTGAACTGGGTTTTGATTAGGTAATTTATTTCGCTATTCACTTCAACTCATAGTCGTTCAACCATGTGGTTCTTGAATATAAAAACAAACATTACTAATTATTTACTGTAGACAATTAATGCCAAAAGCGAGTAGGACTCTGATAAACAAAGGCTCATTATATTTCAAGTTCATAATAGAATAGTGAATACTTAGGTAACCTTGGTGGATGGTGTCTGTTTGTATGGTAATCGAAGCATGTTTCTTCTATGTGCAGACAAACTTAGTTGCACAAACAAAGTGAGATAAAACTCCTTTCCACAGTCAACATGAACTTGGTCCCATATACCATATTGTGCAATAACAGGCATATAGAAACAGGTTGATATAACATATAGATCTCAATAATCCTAATAAAATGACAAAAATAATCCTAATAACATGACAAAAAAGCTCATTTGACACCTGAATACAGAGTGATAAATTTCCACATTATTTTTCACAGGCATTGAAGCAGCTGCCATACTCATGCTGCTGTATCCATCAACTGCCAAGACTGTCGTGCACCATACATGACCAACTTTTCAATTTGATCCATGTAAAGTTTTTGACCAAAGATATTTGCACTGTATGGCACTGGACTCAATAGCTTTGCAGTGTTTTGTGGTCTTTGTTTACAATAATCTAGTGCAACTGTATGAAGTGACCTTGAAAGGCGCTTTTCATTAACATTTATGTTTTCTGCTTGAGGCTTCCCTTTCATGCGTTGAATGTCATGTGTACAACAAAAACATCGCACACTCATTTGGCTTAGACCTCGAACGCCACGATTTGCTTGTTGCAGCTCCTCGCATATTTGCTTGTGCGTCAGCTTTTTTCTCACGACTAGTTCTCTGTCTGCCTCGACACTTATATGCTCATCCATGAGTTTCGCGAAAAAATATAGTATCGAACGATGTAGAAGACAGCCAAAATGTGCCCAGGCATATGTTATCGATCATCACATCGTAATGAAATGAAGTTTTTATTGACCGAACACTGTAGACTTTGACTCACACCCCCCGTCGACTTATTTACAAAGTGTGGTCGCATTACTTAAAGCAGAATTTGATTGATTTTAAAATACGTAAGTTAGTATTTCATAGGTATTTTTCAACATCTCAAAATCTAATTTTTAAAGTGCATTTTACTTTTACATGAATGAAATGTACATTGAATTCACAATAAAATGTGAATTAAATTTTTGAAAATCGAATTCAAGATGTGAATTCATTACATACTTGTATTTGTGAATCGAATGAAACGCCCACGTCCCTCTTTCTATTGTGAATTATGATTAGCATTAGAATTAGTTGCTGAAATTTACGTGTTTGTTATACTTTGATCATGTCAAGGAAGATTTGGCTTGTGTTAATGACACTTCTTGGAGTAGATCTGCTCAGTAAACAAATCATAGTTTATTTAAATACAAAGTTCGTGTCATCTACGAATAACAAGCTACTAAAGGCGAATAAACAACTAATGTCATGTTTGGGTGCCCTTAATAATTATCTCAATGCGTCAGGAAAGACACGGCGTCTTCAACAAAATCAAAACATCGATTTTCCCTTTCTTCGTTCAGTTAATCAACCTAATAATGAAAAGGAAGTTTCGCCTTTTGACAGTTTTGATAATTCCAGGGTGTTTGCCGTAAACCAAGAAGGCCTCAATGCGAAACCATCTCGAACATTAGTTGGAAGTCGCAATGTTGAGCATGAGCAGTTGCTAAAATTTGCGGTTGAAATGATCAACTATAATATTGAGGGCTCTGAAATAAAGGCACAAGACCTGGTCAATGGCATAAGTGGACTAGACCGTGTTTCAGGTATGAAGTATGATCTTATATTCAAAACAAAGACGGCTAATCACTACCAAAGAGTTCAGGTACGACGACCATATTTGAACTTCGAACTTGTTTATCAAAATTCCCAAGTAATATCTACTTCAGAAAAACTTATCAACGTAATTTTACCTTTATCTGGAAGTCTAAATAAATTTAAAATATTTATTGAACATTTCAAAGAGACATGCTTGCAACGTAGCCGCAACTTATTTCTTACAGTTGTTCATTATAATGACGTAAATCATGAGCCAGTCAGAAATGAATTACTTCGATTGAAAGAATCGATTAACTTTACGAATTACAAACTAATCTATGTAGATAATGAATCATCAAAAAGCATTGCTTTGGAAAAAGGTGTACATTCTTGGGAAAATGGAAATGATATCATGTTCTTTTGTGACGTGGACATGTACTTTGATACTGCCTTTTTGGACAGATGTCGGTTTTATACAGAGCCGGGCAAAATGGTGTATTTTCCAATCGTGTTTAGTTTATACAATCCAATTTTAATACATGGAGGTAGTGTTAAAAATATAAAGGAATCGTTAAGGCACAATGAAAACCATGGATATTGGCGTACTTACGGATTTGGAATGGTTTGTTTTTATAAGAATGATTTTAAGGGAATGGACTTATCGATACGCGGATGGGGTGGCGAAGATGTCAAACATTTTCGAAGATATCTAAATGATAAGACATTAGCAGTAATTAGAGTACCTGACAGAGGAATTTTTCATCTTTATCATCCTAAAAGCTGTGATCCGACATTATCTAATCGGCAGCTTCGTGCATGCTTACAAGTTAAGGCAAGGTCAGAAGGATCGAAGGCTCAAATGTCGAAACTGGCGTTCGGAAATTTTATTTACGGAAAAGATCAAATGGATTGGAAAATAGAGCTTAACAATATATTTAAAACTGGAAAGTCCGTCAACAAGTGGCTTATTGAAACGTCGGCAATGGAGAAATCTACAAATCGGTTTGAAGCATTTATTAAGACATTCATTTTAGAAAAGCAGAAAAACACCAGTTATGACAATCTTTTGGAAAAGTTACAAAAAACTCTTGGCAATGTTTCAAATCTACTGCAAGAGATAACAAGATCCAACTTAACTCAGATTTAAATAATGGCATAAACTAACGCACAAAGCACTTTTCTAATTGGTGTAGATAAGAAGCGTCACAGATAGTGGAGGTCTGTTAGTTGTATGCGGGGATTGCCAATGATTTATTCTAGGAGTTTGACAGTACTTTGAACGAGCTTTGTCTTTCAGGATGTATTTTTGACCTCATTAATTAAACAAGTAAAATGCATATATCAATTTTCAGTGAGTCATAGAGTGTATCGCAATGAAACCGCATAGTTTGATACAAACCATCTCAACACTTTTAATTTGAAAAATTAAGCCATAGTTGCTTTTTCATATTTCACAAAATCCTTGCGCTCCTAGTTTTGTAATTTTTCGTATTTTGCCAATGGCATTTCACTCATGTTGGCCTTAATTGGGTTAGCCTGTTCACTTATATTACACTTTTCAACTTGAGCTTCCTTTCGAAAGAGGAGGTTTGAAGCCGTTGCAAGTTAGTAAGTGCGTCAGTTACAACTTGGAAGTATATTTTAATAATTGTAAAAATTGGGTATGAATTATGGGGCGCCATATGTAAAAAATATTTACAGGTTATATGATCTCATTTTCTCATTATTGGCTTAAATAATTCATTATTTAGAAACAATATATTTCTACGCCTAAATAAACCTTTCATGATGTAGAAATAGCAGTTCATTATTTAACATATAATACATTTTTTTGCTAAATATGTAATGCATTATTTAGCATATGATGCATTATTTGTCAAATAAGCAGCAGTTCATTATTTAACAAATAATTCGCTTTGTACGCCAAACGCTAAATGCAAAAAAAAAGATGGCGGCTTTCCAAAAAACTACTCCACTGTCACCGCTGTGCATTAGCATTGCAACTGATGGAGTGGGTGGACACTGGGTGTATTGGGGGTGTATGGCGAACTTTGCGCTCTCAAGGAATCTTCTACCGTAAGCACTAAGCAGAAACTTAACTGCTTTCATTTAAGCATCATTCTCCTTTCGCTCGGAAAAACACTCATCGGACGGATCTTTTGAAAGTTACGGCAGTTACGCTTCAAATAGAGTAAGACTGTGAGCCAACTAACAAGGTAAAACTTCATTCCAATAATATCAAATGGAGCGATTATAGAATAGCCGTCCAATTTCAAATGCACCCTTACAAGTCCAAGGATAGCCTATTTAGAAACTGCCAAACCTGTGTGTCAATATTGAACAATATAATAATATTTTTCAGGAGAGGAAGACCAAATGTTGCTGTTACAGCGTCAGAAGTGAAAGACTTGTTTAATCTTGGTTTTATTATTGCCCAAATCGCTACACACTGCTCCATAAGTAGGCCAACGATGTACAAGCTATCAGATGAGGTAGGTATTGATTATATGAAAAGGTACAATGAGTTTGAGGATTCCCAGTTAAATTTTGAAAAAGTAGAAATTAAGGAAACACATCCGAATGCAGGGGATTCTAATACAATGGGACACCTGAGAGTACAAGGTATTAATCCACAACGGAAGAGAGTCCGTGCTTTAATCCACCGCGTTAATCCTGAAGGTCCATCTGCACGCAGTGCTAAAACTTTTCTTTATAGAGTTTATGGGACATCATCGCCTAATTTTGTATGACACATTGACGGTAACCATAAATTAGTAAAATGGAGATTTGTGACACACTTAGCTATAGATGAATTTACTAGGCTATTAACATTTGCGGGAGATCTGATATTAGGGAGTTTTAGCAGAGCCTACGAGTACGACTACGAGTACGATTTACGTCACTTCGGCGCGAAAACATTGTTGCGACAACAACAACACGTAGCCGTCATCAATCTGAGTACGATGTTTTGTAAAAAATTCGTAGTCGCGACTACGATGTCTTTTTAAGCAAAGAAAGTAGGTATATTTCTTCATTCTGTAAGAAATTAGTTTACAGTACTATTTTTGAGCATTCAGGCTTTAATTTAGAAACCTTTTTGAGCGCAGATGTACATCAAAATAGAAAATATGACCTGCAAAACTTTCATGTATTTCGTACGCAAAGTTAAAGGTAAAGAAGCAATAAAATAGTACAAATATATCGTACATAACACTTAAAATAGTGACGATTTTTCAGTCTAAAGAGTCCTATATTCTCACAAAACCATTATTACCGATTCATTGATATCATTATTGACAAATAGAGCCGTAGCTGCTTCGCAAACGTTGATGTTTTACACAATAAAAAGGCTCGTTCTGTTGTTTACAACTAAAACAAAATTTTGACGAAGCGATAACGACAACAAACTTCCTCGTGCCATTCCCTTACACGGTCAAATTTCGCACTCGTAGTCGTAGTCGTACTCTTGCAAAAACTCGCTAATAATGAAGCTGAAACAACCTACAAGAAATTAAGCCATGCTGCACAGCAAAAAGAAATGGGCCATTTTAGCCCCATGAGCTCGTTTTGGCTTTTAAAATTGCTAGCCGTATTGGCTAACAATGAGGGCTAAAACAGACAAAAGAGCCGTTTTGGCACCATGACGGTTGTTTTTGCTCTCCAATTGGTGCCAAAATAGAAATATACGGGCCAATTTGGCACCATGAGGTCGTTTTGGCTTTTGAAATTGCTAGCCATATTGGCTAACAATGAGAGCTAAAACAGACAAGAGGGGCCGTTTTGGCTCCATGAGGGTTGTTTTTGCTCTACAACTTGTGCCAAATAGAGTCCTTAAGTGGTGACGTCACGTTTCCATGGTGTTAAAAATCTCAGTTCCAAACAAGCGCCCACTCGATTCAAAATGGAGACATTATCCATCGCTTCGCTTTTTTCTTTCTTCTCAGAAGAAAAGAAATCTATAAAAAAGGGGGAAAACCACTTTAGGTCAGATCACATTGAAGCATTTACTTACCAACAGAGTGTTTTACGAGGAAAAGTACAAGCAAGAATGAAGCAAAAGGTTTATAAAGTGACGGTGAATGTCAAATGTCAAGATAAAGTTTTAGACTGTTTTTGTTGCCCAAATGAACACGAAGGCGTGATTTTCTCTAGTAGTGAAATAAAAAAAAAGGCTTGTCAATGAACGATTTGTTTTAAAAATTAATGATACTCGTCGGTTTTCTGTCCTCAAATTGACCTACCACTACTAGTTTGGTGTAAGGGAGTTGTGGTAACAGGCTATACATATATTTGCATTTTTATTAATAAACACAAGGATAACATGGTATTTAAAAGACATGGGAAAATGGTACATCATTTAATGTTGTTTTCCAGGGGAGAAGGGTAATTCCCATATAAAAGTGATGGGATGCTCATGGGAAATGATAAGAAAGACCCATCAAGGGTAACTGTGGGCAGTACTTGCTTTTATTTTATCTCCAAAAGACATCCATTGTAAAACATATGTCAAAACTTCTTTAAACTTCTGTTCTCCTAAACATGATAAAAGAATTCTATGTACACCCAGGCTGTACGAGATGATAAATATTGTAATCCCTAGGAGGTAAAATCATCCCTTTACTGTTATATTAGAATGCTCACACACACAACGCAAACTCACACAAATCATTAAACGCTACTGCGCTGACATTGACGTTAAACTTATTTTCACACCTTTTAAAATAAAATCTTTATTTTCGTTTAAAGACCCACTTCCCGAACTTTCCAAATCTGTGGTAGTTTATCAATTTTCATGTGCGGGATGTAATTCCCGCTATATTGGTGAAACTTCTCATAATTATCTACCAGGATGAAGGAACATACTCACACAGACAAAAACTCCACTATCTACAAACATCTTCAAGCCTCTCCTTCATGTAAAAACAAATTCTCACCTTCCTGTTTTAAAATCATCGACACTGATCAATCCACTTTCGCACTCAAAATCAAGGAAGCTCTACACGTTAATAAAACTAATCCCGATTTAAATATCCAAGTTCACCACTACAACACTATATTTACTTTATAATAATATTATTTGTTATAAGCTCTTAATACTTAATTTTTTTTTTCTCCTTTTTTGTAAATATTTTATAATTTTGAAACTTAATCATATTCCTATTCATTGTAATTAATTTATTCATATCATATTACGTATCATATTACTTAACACTAACCATTCTGCACTGAAGATGGCATTCTGATAATGTCGAAACATGTTTGCTTTCAAAAAAATCGTCGTTTTTCTCAAGTGTATTTTATTTCTATGTGAACAACAATAATTATTAAAAAACTGTCCAATGTAGTCTTCAAGCATGAAACTACTCAAAAACCATATCTTCACATCCCTCTTTGATGAGAGGAAATTGCAAATTTACAAGTGCTGCACATAACTGAAACAATTCATTACTCTGCATAATAAATAGGTTGCATTTTGATGACTCATCAATCCGGGTGCAGCAACCTCAATATCTGTGCAGTCTATAACAATCCGACAGGATTCAAATTGTCTGAAAGAGGAGGGTGCAGAGATCTTGTCTTTTTCCCGCTATGGAATCGACGTCATTAGGTCGTCAAACAAAATTTCACGCAAAACATGAATGAATGTTATAACAATGTTAGAAATTGTGGCCACACTACAATGAAACAATTGGGCTAGGTAAAGCTGTGTGTAGTTCTGTCGAACTTTCATTAAAGTGATAAAAATTTGATCCTCAAAATTGATGGATTATACCTTCCAAAGCACTAAGATTTACGGTTTTGGCCACGGAAAATACAAAGCGACCGTTAAAAAGACAACTAGCTGAAGCTTCTATAGTTCAGTATTCGATGATTCTCCCTCATGTCCTGATGTCAACTCTTCACCTGAATAGAGTCCGTAAATCTCACTTAAAATCACGTAATTCATCACACTTTCACCGATTAAGGAATTCTTTTTGAATATCAGTTCACATACCTTATGAGCAGTGGCGTGCGGTCATGCAAGCGTAGGCAAGCGCCGCTTGCCTAAGCATTTTACCGAACAAAAATTTTTTGGATCAATCTCTGAGCAAAATCAGTTTAAATTTTTCTGTTCTAAACAATGTCAATGTAATTTTTTGTCTAAATTGTCTTTACAGTTGAAATGCTTGCTATTTATACGCGATTTACTGTCGTGGTTTTCGGTTTCACTTTGCTACACTTGTAAGATGAGTCAAGAGGATTAAATACAACTTAAAAATTTCTTATTTATTAACCAAGGCAAGCGCGCTTGCCTTCGGAGCTCAATTTGAACATTTGCGCATGCGTTAATCTAGAT